AAAAAAAACCTCAAGGGGGTCCACAGCAACTTCCTGGTTCTAACCCTGCAGAGGTAAAAAAAAAAAAAAAAAACCAAACACAACACACACCACACAAAACAAACCCAAAACATAATAATCATCATCACGACCACCTCCCAGCCCAGTACATAATCAGATCTGAAGTTCACTGTACTCACCTCATGGAATCCATGGGCAGTCAGAATGCTTCGAACCAGACGGCTGTCTGTTCGCACAATCTTATAGGACAAGCGGTAGCGCTCTGTTAAGAGGGCAAGAGACGCGATATTAGAATCTGCACCTAGAAGAATAAACCCGTTACCTATGCTACCAAAGAAGAGAGAAGACCACCACAGGACTCGGCACAGTACAGCTGCAGTTAATCCACAGTGGAGCATTCACACAATAGAGCACATAACAGGCAAAGGGTGATAGGAAATGCCTGTCCATCTCTTGGGGCATTAACTCCAATAATGGCATCAATCTGACTTGCATCAGTCCTTAGGTACTATATTGCTGCATCACTGAACACTGTCATATCAAAATAAAGCACAGGACAGGCTAACATATGCCCAGATTTTTTTCCAAATAGCTCTTTATATAGACTACTTTATAACACTCCAAACATGGTTTCAGCTTTCTTCTCTATTCAAGATTGGTATTCCCAGCTAAAAGTAATTGCGTCATATGCCTCTCATTGTCATGGCTAGCTTTGATGATCACTTTTTAGATCCTGAAAACCCAAAATAAAACTCCGAATTTTTGTTCACATCTCATTCACCTGTACTGATCTTCCAACAAGTAACTGCAAAAAATAGTAGGAAATAAAGTAAATAGGACAAGGAAAAAAAAAAGAGAAAAATTACTATCCAAGTAGAAAGTCATAAAAACAAAAGCAGCAAGCAGCACTGGAGGTATAAGATAAACAGAAAGCAAGCAGCAATACGAGAGGCCAGTTGTCATACAAAAGAATGTGGCAATCCATAAAAGAGTTCAAAGAAAGCAGAGGCAGAAATTGCAGGGTCACTTGGAAAAGACACTTTACAAATTGGTTCAAACTGAGAACAGAAAGATGAACATTAGATTAAAACTCAGGAAATACGTTCTACCAATAAAAATAAGTCTAAAGAAAAGAAAGACAAGTATCATAATCTGGGACTGGACACAGCTCAAGGAAATTTAACAAGGTGCGCTGCTCAGCAGTAGACTTGTAGCAGTAGAGACACCACACTCCAGTTAGGAGACAAGTTACAATTACCATCAGCTACTGCCACCATTCAAGTACGTTCTTAACTCACATTAAAAGGTTCTGCGGTTTCCACACACAAATCACCTTCTCCACCCCTTACCCCAATGAGCCAGAAGCATTTCTGCTTGGATAGGATATTAGAAATGAGGGCACCAATTACCTAAGAAAAGGAGAAGCAAGAGAAGAAAGAAGCGTCAGCATCTTCAGAAAAAGAAGGCGAGTAGATTTTAGCTTTTCTCCAGCTCAGCATATCCAGAATGAGCTCCCAGCTGTACACACCCAAAAGTACTACCTCTTACAATCCAGAGTGTTTATAACAACTCTGCCTCTTATTTAGAGGCTCTCCCTCAAGCGCTGCCAGAGCCACAATCATTTTGCTTATGGCCTTACTCACAGTTGTGAGACTGCAGACGCAGAGATTTGTTACTACAGCTTACTACTGTTCTTACCACTGTGGGGCTGGCTGCTTTATTTCCCAGTGAAACCCTCTCGAACCTCACTGCAATGACTGATCTTGAGTTATTAGCTACAGAGTGGTTTTAGTTATATTCTGGTCGCAGGTTCTAGCATGGCCTCCAAGCAGACAGCTCCAACGCGAAACACATCAGGACCCAGTAGACAGACACTCGTCACAACCCAAAGATGCGATAAACATTCACCAACTGACGAAGCATTTCTGAACCTCTCAGTGCTCAGAAACAAGAGAAGATTGTAATTTCCTTCCTACCATGTCCTCTGTCCCACCACAAAGAGAAGGGAACATCCAAGTAAGAGACTTCCACCTCATGCCCTCAGGCCAAAATCTGGCACGTAGTTGCACCCACCTCCAATTAGGCGGAGGTAGCTGTCGTTGGTCAGAATGGCTTCAGCATGAAACACCAAGACGGGGATCCGCCTGCAGCCGCCACCAGTCCACTTGAGACATGGATGATCCCTGAAATGGCAAGACAGTCAGTATAAGCAGCTGCTGAGCCTCAGACATACAGCAGTTGCTTACAGTGATGACACAGCAATTCTCCATACTTGCCCATGCTTGCGCACCTAGCCTGCGGGCAGGACACAGGCAAATATAACACGGGGAAAATAATGGAAGATTGGTGAGGAAGATTGTAAACACGCTCAAGTGACTTGCAGCTGGGGTGTAGAAAAATACATATATCATTCTAATTGTTGCCTGTCCTTGTGTGTTCAACAAGTAGAACATCCACGTTCAGATAACACAGGCCTGTGATAGACTTAGAGGCACCCCATTGAACACCCTGGAGATTCCTGCCCTGCTGCGGGAAATATCAAAGCACGGTGGTAAACTACGCCTGCGTGAATCCCCCAAGAAACAGGGGCAAACAGCAGGTTTGGCGACTCTCTAGCAAGGACCGAGTTCCACAGTACCCGTGTCTCCGCCTCTGTTCCTCTGCCCCGGTGTTGCTTCGGGAATCCCCCAGTTGCAAGAAGTAAATTTATTTTTGTTACCTTGCCATTTCCACCATGGTTTTGTGGTTGTTCCCGTGCCCTGCCTATGTTGACTCCCACACACATGCTAGGCATCTTTGGTACTCAGCTGTAAAGGGAATCTTCCAGATCATCCTCTCTTTGGGTCGGTCTTGCTAGTCTAAGTCAGAGTTCTGTTCAATATGTATTTATTTTACTGAGTGTAATTTGGGAGAAACCTCGTGAATTTTTACAGCTACAGTTCTCTCGATTTATAGCCTGAAAACAAGCTTTATAATTCAGGATAAACCATAATTGTTGGTGTCCACATAACCAGAACTTACAATGCAGGTCCCAGTCTCCAATTTAAGAACTGCAAATCAGTGCATGCTAACTGGTTGCAATCCTGGACTCTGAAGTGCTCAAAAGGGCACTCATGCCGAGTTTGAGAGACTAGAACAGGCTTGGCTCAACACAACGGATAAACTTGCATGTTCTTCCTTTTTAATTTCTGCCAGATGCAGTGGAATGCAAGCCCAGAATTCAACAATGACCCCAGCCAGCCACTCCAGGTTCCAAGCTAGTGATCAGTTCTGTCCAAAACAACAAGACTACATTGGGAACAATCATCTCCTCAGAGAAATTAAGGACACACAAATAAAATTAAGGTCTGTTATATAAAATCCTAAGATCACAGAAAGAAAACCTGCCAACCTCCCTAAGCAACTAAAGCTCAGACTGCTTATTACTCACCATGCAAGGAAACGGAACCGTGAAAAAAAGTTAACAGAAAACAAGACTGAGGGGTTGGAGAGACACATGCCTATCTACACAGACAATAAGAGATATAGAGACTGGCAGAGATACACAGAAGCATTTATCTATAGAATTTGCAAGATCATTGTCTGCCAAAGGTTTGGAGAAACTACACAAGTCAAAACACTTCCTACACTTAGAACACAGGAACAGAGATAAAAGGGCAACTTTCTGACGCTAGGACAAGCAAGTACTCTTAAGCGTAACCTTGGTCCTCTTAACCAAGTTGTTATTACCTTTATCACTCAGACAAATTAACTTCACAGCACTCCCATCTACTTCCACCACCTCTAAAGAAAAAAAAAATTTTAAAAACTCAGAACAACAAACCAACTACTGGGGTGTAATTAGCTGTTCAGACTGGACGGGACCCGAGAAGCTTCCAGAATTTACACTACATGCCAGAGCCTTATATAAGTGGGAAACAAGCTGAGGCAACAGGAGGGGAGTTTATGTTAAGCCTGTCCTGAGGATTTGCAGTAAGGCTCAATCCTCCAAGTGACAGTCATTCATTCCTAACCTGACCCTCGGTCACTCAATGCAGACACACCACTACAACTATCTTCTGGGTGAAAGCAGTTGTGGACCTTTCCATCTATAGAGTCTGGCAAATCTGAGCCAACTACTTGGTATGAACCAACATTCCTCTAAATGCCTTAAGTCACTGCCGTTTGCAACTAGGCACTCAGTCACAATATGCACCCAAAAGAGAACAAACAAGACATATCAAAGGAGGTCCAGCTGAAACAGAAGAGGAATTTCACTCTGGGAAATAATAAGGGAGCGACTCCTTCACAAGCAAAGATAAAACAAGTCACTAAACACAAATGAAACAAACATAGACTAGTAAATAATAAGAATTCTAGGAGCCGAGTTCTCACAAGACAGTTTTTAAAAAAGGACATAAAACATTGCATATCAGTCTGCTGTACAGTATATTTCCATTCTCTGTAGCAAAGTAAAAACTAAGACAAAATAAAAACCTAAACAAACAAAAAGAAAGGAAATTCAGTTCCTTCATTTTCTTAAACATCATCAAGAAAGTTCCCCAGCGTAAGAACATTACAGGAAGAGATCAATGAAACTATGGACTTTAGAGTAGCCAAGGAATAGCTGCACCTCCAACCCTGATGAATACAGTGATCTTTCAAGCTACAAACGTAGTCAGCCTGCCCACAGGCTTAAGGCCCAGACCAACCATCTTCCGCTTTATGGGTAGGAGTTGGGTAAGGAATGTAACTGTCTTTTCAGATTAGTACAAATCCTGCAGGAAGCAGAGGGAGATAGAAACAGTTAAGAGGGATTTTTCCTACTTACTCCAGGCCACCTACAACATCTTCCTCCTCCTCCTCTGAGGATGAGCCAGTTTCCTCCAGATCTCGAGCCACACCGACTGGCATTTCCTCTGGGAGTTCTCATACAGCCCAGTCTCAGTAGCCTCTGCACCTCTTTCCTGCAGACTCAACGGATCTCGCAAGAGCAGTTACCTGCAATAAGGATTAAAAGCATGAACGCACAGCTGAGCGGGACAGCGAGAGAAATGTAACTTCACTCCCACCTCCTGTGAATACACATTTCTCACTGGACTATCAACAAGCTTGTCGCGGACTGTGAATCGCTTCCTAGCCAAGGGAGTGCCGAAGCATCACCTTCCAGCAGATCACTCCCCGCCTGCCCGTCAGAGTCATCC